CTAGCTCTTGTAGACCAGGCTGGTCTCGAACTCACAGAGATCAGCCTGCCTCTGCCTCCCGAGTGCTGGGATTAAAGGCGTGCGCCACCACCGCCCGGCTAATAAAAGTTATTTCTAAATTTGGAAAATTAACTAGAAAAAAAAGACAGGAAGAAGAGGTATCCTAATGCTGTTGTCTTCTCAGAGATCCCATTTCATGCTGAAGGCCGGCACCCCTGTTCTTTAATGGGTAAGAATTTCCGCTCCTACTTGCTGGATCTGCGAAACACTAGCACTCCTTTCAAGGGTGTCCGCAAGGCCCTTATTGATACCCTCCTGGATGGATATGAGACCGCGCGTTATGGGACAGGGGTAAGTTGGACAGTTTTTCCTCCAGAGAACTAAAGGATGGAATGCTCCAGACAGATACTGATTTTTCCTTTCTCTTTCCTAAGGTCTTTGGCCAGAGTGAGTATTTGCGGTATCAGGAGGCCTTGAGTGAGCTAGCCACTGTGTGAGTAGTACGGTGGGGCATGTCATGTTTTGTTTTTTTGTATAACCCACTAAAATGTCAAAATGATCTGATCATGGTGGTGCAGGCCTTTAACACCTGCACTTAGCAAATCTCTGTAGGTTGGATAGAAACCTGGTCTGCATAGCTAATTTCTTGACACCCAGGGCTACATAGAGGAAACTCATTCTCAAAAACAAAAGGTCTGAAGAGATGACTCAGAGGTTAAGAAAACCAGCTGCTCCTGCAGTTGACCAGGGTTCAATCCCCAGCATCAACATGAGACCTCACAACCATTTGCCGCTCCTGTTCCAGTGGGAGCTGAAGCTCTCTTCTGGCCTCCATAGGAACCTGGCATTTATGTAGAGCACAGACATCCAAACACACTACATAAAAATAAACCTAAAAAAAAACATGGTATAGCTAGCAAAGGAATGAAGATTTTCAGCACCTTTCTACACGCAGACAGAATACTGAGAATACTGTATACATAATAAATAAATAAATCTTAAAAAAAAAAGAGCCTAGAAAAGAACATTTGGTTTAGGCAAGGAGTCTGGAGAGATGGTTCAGCGTTTATAAGAGTGCTTGCTACTCTTCTAGAGGCCCAGAGTTTAGTTTCCAGCATCCATGTTAGATAGTCATAACTTCCTGTAACTTAAGCTCCAGAGGATCCAACACCTATTCTGGCCTACACACGGGTAGCCTACATTCACATAGACGTACACACATAAAGCAAAATTTAAAATAAACCTTTAGGAGCTGGAGGGATGTTTAGCGATAGAGAACTTCTCTTCTGGAGTGCCTGGCTTGTTTTCTATCACTCACATCGGGTGGCTCACAGTGACCAATCCAGGGGATACAATGCCAGCTTCTAATGTCTTTGGGCTCCTGTACATGTGTGGTGCACATACACACAAATAAAAAGTCTTGAAAGAAGCTAGGAAGGAAACCTGATAAAATTTCACTTGGGTCGGGTGAGTTGGTATATGCTGTAATCCCACCACTCAGGAGGCAGAGACAGGCAGATCTATTAGTTTGAGCTTGCCTGATCTACAGAGTAAAGCTTTGGGATAGCCAAAGCTACACAGAGAAACTTTGTCTCAAAAAAGAAAGAAAGGAAGGAAGAAAGGGAAGGGGGAGGGAGGAAAGAAAGAAAGAAAGAAATCACTTGAAAGATAAATGCTGATTTCACTTACATGGTCTAAGTAGTCAGACTCTGGTGTAGGAGGTTCTATCTGTGTTGCTTTTATTGGTTAATTAATAAAGAAAACTGCTTGGCCTGATAGGTCAGAACATAGGTAGGCAGGATAGACAGAACTGAATTCTGGGAGGAAGAAAGCAGGATTGCCACCATGGAGCCAGCCACCAGGTTAGACAGGCTGAATCTTTCCCGGTAAGCCTGACCTCGTGGTGACATACAGATTTAATAGAAATGGGTTAATCAAGATGTGAGAGTTGGCCAAGAAGTGGTTAGATATAATGGGCCAGGCAGTAATTAAGTTAATATAATTTCTTTGTGGTTATTTTGGGGGTTAAGCTAGCCGGGCAGCGGGATGCAGCCTGCTTTTCCATACTACAAGACTCAGGATGTAAAATGGTAGTTGCTAGTACCTGAGAAGATAAGCATTATTTAATCAACATAAACATTAGTATGTGTAGCTGGGTGGTGGTGGCGCACGCCTTTAATCCCAGCACTCGGGAGGCAGAGGCAGGCGGATCTCTGAGTTCGAGGCCAGCCTGGTCTACAAGAGCTAGTGCCAGGACAGGCTTCAAAGCTACAGAGAAACCCTGTCTCAAAAAAAAAAAAAAAAAAACATTAGTTATGGGAAATGCAAAACATTTTGAAGGTTGGCAGTACAACATTGTGATTGTACTTAACAGTTCAAAGCTTATAGTTTAAAATAGTCCACCTGTTTCTCCAGCCATCGTGGTAGAGCACATATTTAATCCCAGCACTCAGGAGGCAGAGGCAGGCAGACCTGTGAATTCAAGGCCAGCTTGGTCTGCGGAATGAGTTTCAAAACAGCCAGGGCTACATAGAGAAACCCTGTATGGGAAATGTTTCCTGTGTGTTTCATTTGATATTTTGTTGTTGAAGCTGGGTGTGATGGCCTAGCCTGTATAATAGTGAAGACCTTTTCTGTCCCCTCTTCCTCCACACACTTCAAAAAAGAAAAGATTATAATGGAAATAAGGACTTAAAATTTGTTTTTCCTGTCATACCTAAATCATCAAATGATTTTAGTAATGAGTTGTTTGAGTTTTTGTTGTGGTTTTAGTTTGTTTGGCAGTGAAGGTGGGTCATGGGGGGGATATAACAGACGGACAAACATCATTAGGCTAGACTGACCTTGAATTTATAATAATCCTGCCTCTTGGAATTGCAAGTGTGTGCCTCCATGCCTGGTTTAGTAACTGGTAAAATACATCAGAGACCATTGTAGCTGCATGTTCTGGGTGGAATAATTTCTGTATTGTATTCTGTTTTTTGCTTGTTTTTTTTTTTGTTTTTTTTTTGGTTTTTTTTTTGGTTTTTCGAGACAGGGTTTCTCTGTGGTTTTGGAGCCTGTCTTGGAACTAGCTCTTGTAGACCAGGCTGGTCTCGAACTCACAGAGATCCGCCTGCCTCTGCCTCCCGAGTGCTGGGATTAAAGGCGTGCGCCACCATGGCCCGGTCTTTTGCTTGTTTTTAAAGATTAGTTTTATTAGTTTTAATTATGTGTACACTGGCCTAGAGCTAGAGTTATAGGCACCTGACATGGTTGCCAGGAATTGAACTCTGGGTTCTAGAAGAGCAGTATATGCTCTTAACCACTGTGTCATCTCTCCAGCCCCTTTCTGCTAGCTTTCATTCTGTCCATGTCTTCTGTGTGTTCTTCAGGGTCAAAGCACGAATTGGGAGCTCTCAGAAACAACACCAATCGGCAGCCAAAGACCTAACTCAGTCACCTGAAATGTCGCCAACAACCATCCAGGTCACATACCTCCCCTCCAGTCAGAAGAGCAAACGTCCTAAGCACTTCCTCGAACTGAAGAGCTTTAAAGACAACTACAACACGCTGGAGAGTACTCTGTGATGGAGCTGCAGACGCCACCTGTGCAGCCTTCATGCCGTCTGGCTCAGCAGGCCCAGACTTTGCCAGCCAAAGCTTCTGTTGAGGCCAGAGCTCCTTCAGAACTGTGTATGAAGGGTCATTCCCCAGTCCTTTCTTAGAGGCATTTTCAAATACTGGCTAAGACCCCGGTATTTTCCAAAAGCACTTTTTCTGGATTTGAATTCAGATGTCATTAATGTTTCTGTCAAAGCTTCCTTGAAAATCTCCACTTGTTTTTGTTTTTGTTTTTTTTTTTAAGATTTATTTATTTATTTATTGTGTGCACAGTGTTCAGCCTCCTTGTATGCCTGCAGGCCAGAAGAGAGCACCAGATCTCATTACAGATGGTTGTGAGCCACCGTGTGGTTGCTGGGAATTGAACTCAGGACCTCCGGAAGATCAGCCAGAGTGCTCTTAACCTCTGAGCCACCTCTCCAGCCCCTCCACTTGTTTTTGGCTATAATTCACCTACGCTGTTCAATGCTGTTTAGTCCCAAACATGTAAACTGAGGTCTAGCCTATTGCACTCAGTTGAATAGAAATATTTGGGTTTAGAGCATCTCAGATTTGATTGGTGGAAGTCATGAGAAAAAGGGAATGAGAAAGTGGGTAGAATGTCCTCTGGAATTTTGGTGCTCCATTTAAACAGATGTATTAAGACATGGACACGACTTTCTTGAAGTGGAGGGATCTGTCCCGCCGTCACCTAATACTATTATGATGAATAAATAGGAACATTCTGGCACTTGGCATAACCAAGTTGGTGAGATGTGGTTTCTTCTAATGTCAGTGTATTAGTCTCAGTTCACAAATTAATAAAATTAACTACTAAATGTGATTTTATTATTATTATTATTCTGTTGGTGGATTTCTCTGGTTTTTTTGTTTGTTTTTTGTTTTTTTGGTTTTTCAAGACGGGGTTTCTCTGGTTTTGGAGCCTGTCCTGGTCTTGAACTCAGAGATCCACCTGCCTCTGCCTCCCGAGTGTGGGATTAAAGGCCTGCGCCACCACCGCCGGGCTGGAGGGTTTCTCTTTGTAGAGACTGGCTGGCCTGGAATGCGCTTTGTCAACCAGGCTGGCCTGAACTCATGGACATCCACCTGCTTCTGCATCCAGTGCTGCAATTAAAGGCATGTGCCACCCCCTCCGGGCCGTGAGTCATCTCTTTAGAGTGAACTTTAGAACAGTAAGCATTTGCAGCAGAAATCCTAACAGAAATAGGGACTGTGTAGTTCATGCTCATAGCCTGACCTGGTTCCTAATAGAATGCTGGAGAACCAGGATTCCCTTTAGGTCACTAGGGCAACAGGCCAAGTAACCAGTGGACTCCAGGACCAGGGTCATTGTTGGACGCCTAAATGTTGCTATAACTACTGAAACCTTGGTGACCAAACTAAACAGAAAGGAGAGCCTTCCCAGTAGCCTCAGAAACACCAAACATGTCTGTAGATATGTCTGCGGAAAAGATGACAAAAATAGAAGAGGTGTGCAGTCGGGAGTGGGGGGGCGGGAGAGGTGTGCGGTCGGGAGTGGGGGGGGGCGGGAGAGGTGTGCGGTTAGGAGTGGGGGGCGGGAGAGGTGTGCGGTCGGGAGTGGGGGGGCGGGAGAGGTGTGCGGTTATGAGTGGGGGGCGGGAGAGGTGTGCGGTTAGGAGTGGGGGGCGGGAGAGGTGTGCGGTTAGGAGTGGGGGGCGGGAGAGGTGTGCAGTTAGGAGTGGGGGGGCGGGAGAGGTGTGCGGTTAGGAGTGGGGGGGCGGGAGAGGTGTGCGGTTAGGAGTGGGGGGGCGGGAGAGGTGTGCAGTTAGGAGTGGGGGGGTGGGAGAGGTGTGCGGTTAGGAGTGGGGGGCGGGAGAGGTGTGCGGTCGGGAGTGGGGGGGCGGGAGAGGAGCAGTTAGGAGTGGGGGGGCGGGAAGGTGTGCAGTTAGGAGTGGGGGGGTGGGAGAGGTGTGCAGTTAGGAGTGGGGGGCTGAAGAGGTGTGCAGTCAGGAGTGGGAGGAGTTTCCCTTGATGTGGTTTCCAGGTGGGTTTACCCGAAGTTTACCTGAGAGAGGCCCTTGGAAGAGGACAGGAGAGTAGGCAAAGACAGGGAACCACGTCTCAAACAATAACTGTTCACATATGTCCCACTCTGGCCTCTATATTTTCTCAGTTTATTCTGAGAAATGAAGAACTTTCTCACTTTCCCATAGGAAACTACTTCATTCCTCAGAGTAGGTGCTGACGGTCAGATTCTAGTAATCAAGGCAAATCAACGGAACTCCTTTTCTTGCAGAATTTGAAAAGAGCCGTGGCACTTAAGAAGATGGTCAACAGGTAATCTGTGTTTCCATCTTCTCCCATCCGTTGGTCTTTTCGGCTCTCCTCTCCAGAGCCACCGCCCAGATCAGCTCTCCTTTGGGGACTCACTCCAAGAAAGAAAGAAATGGAGCAGACGGGGCAGCCTTGCTGTGGAGCAATCCGTGCTCCAAGAGGAGTGTGTCAGTACCTCGTAGATGGGCCTGTTTCTCTCTGACTGCTTCCCAGGCTCTGGAAAAGGCACAATACTGTCTGTTCCTGCCTGCCTCTGTACTAATTACATAGCAGGTATTTGGTGAACGAGTGACAGGATACCCACAAGACTGGACTGCGCATTTCACCTGCTGAGAGTTTCATTCTGGGCACTGGGGTGTTGAATCCAGGGCTTTGTGCACGGAGGTGCTCCACCACCAGTTATACCTCCAACCCTAAGCTTTTTTTCTAAATTCTGGCAGAAGCAGGGCATGGGGGCTCACACCTATAATCCCAGTACTCGAATGAGCATGAGTCTAAGGCCAGCCTAGGTTACAGGTATGATTGGTGCACTCTTTAAAACTCCCAGAGGGAGAACCAATATGGTGCATATGCTTCACTAGAGAGAGCAGAGACAAGTGGATCTCTTGAGTTTGAGCCCAGGCTAGTCTGCATACTTCCACAGGGTTATATAGTAAGACATTATTGAAGGGAGCTGGCAAAGGTATCTCACTGGTAGACTGTCTAGATGCACAGAGCTTGGGTTTATTTCCCAGCATTCAGGGGATACAGACAGGAGCATCCAAGTGAATTGGAGACCAGCCTATGCCATATGAAACTGTCTTTTAAGAAAGGTAGCTGGGCGGTGGGGCGCACTTTTAATCTCAGCACTCAGGAGGCAGAGGCAGGCAGATCTCTGAGTACGAGGCCAGTCAGAGCTACACAGAGAAACAAAGGGAAAAGGGGAAAAAGGCACTGGTTAGGAACAGTGAACTAAGACCCAGTTCTAAATGACCTCGCTGACACTGCTTTGCATTGCCTTTTGTGTGTGCTGAAACAGCCAGCAGCTCTGCCTCTGTTGGTAACAGTGCACTTAACACCCTCGATTCTGTGTGTGTTCTGGCCACCCTTTCAAGAACTGCAGTCTTCTGACAGTGACAGAGGTTCTGGTCACAAAGGAACTGCTTTAGTACAGATTTAACTCTCCTCCTGACTCTCACCTGCTTAATCCCCACCCTAAACCTGGGACAGGTGGCAGAATTCACATACTCACTGTATGTGGCAGATGACATTAAGCCAGCGGAGGAACCTGTATGCTACGCTAAGGATGCAGGGCGATATGGAACAGGAGTTAGCCCTGTCCAACAAGCAGCTGCTGACGGTGAGTTCTAGGAGGGCAGCCTGGAGTCTCCCCTTCCTGCTGTGTCCCTGCTCTGTCATGACTTAACCATATTGTTTACATCTGAGATTTTCATCAGAACATATCAAATGTCAAAGCTCTTTTTCAGGAAGTGAGTTTTGTAAATTTTCACACAGTTTGCATTGTTTAGATAGGGTTTAACAAAGTTTTGTTTTCTTGGGTTCCTTGGGTTGGATTGGATTTTGTTTGAAACAGAGTCTCACTTTGTACCCCTAGATGACCTGGAACTTGCTATGTAGACCAGGTTGGCTTCCCTGAACTCAGAGATCTACCTGCCTCTGCCTCCCACATGCTGGGATTAAAATGCACCACCACCACCCCTAGCCAGGGGGTTATTTTATGTTTAATTTTTTTGGCATCTTATTTTTTAATTTATTTTTATTTTATTGAGCTATACATTTTTCTCTGCTCCCCTCCCTGCCTCTCACCCTCTCCCAAGGTGCCCATGCTCCCAATTTACTTGAAGATCTTATACTTACTACTTCCCATGTAGATTAGATCCATGTATGTCTCTCTTAGGGTCCTCATTGTTGTCTAGGTTCTCTGGGATTGTGATTTGTAGGTTGGTTTTCTTTGCTTTATGTTTAAAAACCACATATACCTTCCTTAAGACCCAGCAATACCACTTTTGGGTATATAGCCAAAGGATGCTCAATTGTGCCACAAGGACACGTCTCAACTATGTTCATAGCAGCTTTGTTTGTCATAGCCAGAACCTGGAAACAAACTAAATGCCCCTCGACTGAAGAATGGAAAGGAAAATGTGTACATTTACACAATGGAGTACTACACAGCAGAGAAAAATAACGACATCTTGAAATTTGCAGGCAAATGGATGGCGCTAGAAAACATCATATTGGGGCTGGAGAGATGGCTCAGTGGTTAAGAGCATTGCCTGCTCTTCCAAAGGACCCGAGTTCGATTCCCAGCAACCACATGGTGGCTCACAACCATCTGTAAAGAGGTCTGGCGCCCTCTTCTGGCCTTCAGGCATACACACAGACAGAAAAATTGTATATATAATAAATAAATAAATAAATATTTTTTTTAAAAAAGAAAACATCATATTGAGTGAGGTAACCCAGACCCAGAAAGACAATTATCACATGTACTCACTCATATGTGTTTATTTTTGAAACAAAGTCTTGCTCTACATCACAAGATGGCCTGGAACTTGCAAACATTCTGTCTTTGCTTCCTTTATGCTGAAATTATAGCCATGTCCCATCACCCAGCTGCAGCTGACACATTTCCAGTTCCCAATGCATTACTTTGTTCTTTTCATCCAGGTGAGACCCTTCTCCACCTGAGGTGCCAATTGCTGTGTCACCTCTTAGTATCTTGAATACCTGGCAGATGTCTTAATTCATGGTGCATTCTCAGCAAAATATTTGTTAACAATGAGTCTTGACCCAAGGGTGGGGAAATTAGATAGGCTTCCCTCCGCTGACTTATTCTCTTCTACCTCCTTTTTATGTCCCTACTAAGGCTAGGTCCAAGGGAACCCAGGGACGGGGAAGGCAACCCGAGACTGAGAAGGAGCATTAACCACCCAATACCACACTTTACCGCCTTCCCTGCCAGGTCCGTCAAGATGCCTTACACCAACTGTTTGCAAAGGAGCATCAGCAGTACCAGCAGGAGCTCAGTCAGCTGGGCAAAGCTTTTTATGAGGAGAGACTGTGACGCTGCCCAGACACTGCTCTTCGTCATGCCTGCCAACCCGCCTCTAGTCTCTACCACAAGCTTCCCAAAACACGCCTGAAGCTGGGACTGTTGCTTCTGAAAACAAGAGCGACACCTTGTGGTCAGGGTGGGATATGCAGCGTTGTAAGAGGAGAGAATGCACAATGTCTGGTTTAAAGAAATCCTGATTTGGTTTAACAAATAAAGATTTAGATTTAGACCACAGGGTTTAGTATCAGCCCTGAGTCTTGGTTTGTTCTTGGCTTCCTTAATTTTACTTCCTAGATTCTGAGCACTGTTTCTCTTCTGGCTGGTTTTGTGTGTCAACTTGACACAAGCTATAGTTATCAGAGAGGAAGGAGCCTCAGGTGAGGAAATGCCCCCATGAGATCCAGCTGTAAGACATTTTCTCAACTAGTGATCCACGGGGAAGGGCCCAGCCCATGGTGGGTGGTGCCTTCCCTAGGCTGGCGGTCCTGGGTTCTATGAGAAAGCCATAGGGAACAGCACCCTTCCATGGCCTCTGCATCAGCTCCTGCCCTGTTGGAGTGCCTGTGCTGACTTCCTTTGTGATGAACAGCAATGCTGAAGTGTAAGCTGGATAAACCCTTTCCTCTCCTACTTGCTTTTTGGCCATGGTGTTTGGTCCCAGCAAAAGAAATGCTAAGTAAGACAGCCTCGGACCTCGGTTTCACTGTTCTTTCCTGAGTTTGTGGACAAACAGCATTAAACATGGTTATTAATGGATAGGCACTGTGGTGCTTGGGTGTCAGGGGCTGATTTTATGTTTGGAAGTTATCTCATTATTGTGAAAACATGGATTGGCTTGTTCTAGGCCTGAGTTGCTACTCTACAAAACAGAGATTCCAGACTTCCATTCCTCCGGGCACTGGGTGTGCACTGCAGCGGGTGTGAAGTATCAAATGGTGGGTTTGAGGGGCTCAGAAAGCATGCCCGCTCTCAAGGTACTGGACACTATAAATTCTAGAAAGTAACAGCATGTGCATCTGTAGGCCTCAGGAAAACATGTCATCTAGAGATCCCCATTCACAGAATCTGCCAGGAGAATATGTGCTCTGATGTGATTTCTAACACTTTCCCCTACACGCTCACCTTTCAGCAGCAGCCACTGGCCCCTCATCTGTGCCACAGGATCGTTTCCTGCTGCAGAACTCTCGTTGTCTCCCCTCCAGCCCATCTCTATCCTTAGTCTCTTGCCAAAGCCTGCATTTTTATTTAGCCTCCGGAAGCTGCTACCTCCAGCCCCTCCACATTCCACCCAGGAAGACCTTGGAGAGGCAGCAAGTACAAAGAGGACATCACAGGCTTGAGGGTCAGGTATGGGGTCACAGTATCGGACCCTCTTCTGGAGAGGACTGACACATCGGCTGTTGTCAGGAGAGCACAAGTCCAGAGACTGGCCTAAAATAGCCCTGTCTTGGTGTCCTGTAGCTAACCCACACACAGTTCCCTCTTCACCCACCCTCGTCATTAGTAACCAGCCATGAATACTCCCTTCAGATGAAATGACGCTCCCAGGCTGGTGGGGAAAACAGGCTGCGAACAGTAATTCAAGGTGCAGTGTGAGTTCTGTAAGGAGATGAAGCCACAAACACCTCACTTGGATTTGACACCAAACAAGACTGAATTTCTATTTCTTCTGTCACCCACATCTCTCTCAGCTTCCTTCCTTCTTACCTGTCTCCCAGGCCACTGCTATTCACAGGTACTATGGCCTGGAGTAGAGAACAGTGGACAGGTCTGGTTCTCAGTCTTCGTCCTGCCACTTCCTGGGTGTTTGGCCAAGTGCACATTTAATATTGGGGGCTGGGGTGGGTGGTTTGCTGGAGAGATGGCTCATGGTTAAGAACACTGACTACTCCTGCTGAGAACCCAGACTGGAATCCTAGCATCCATATGGCATCTCATGATTGTCTAGTTCCAGAGGATCCTCTGCAGGTACCAGGCATGCACATGGTACATAGGCAGACACGCAGAACAAAATGCCTATGCACATAAAATATTTAAGTCTGAGTTTTGGTTGCCTATTTATAAAATGAAAACAATCTCTACCTTATCGGGTTGCTGTGGGAATTAAATAAGTCACTTAGAAGAAATCACCCTTAATATGTAATGTAAACAGGAAGCCATGATGCTGTCTTGCTGCCCCAGGATACTTTCTCCCTTACTTCCACACCCACTGCTCTCTGTAACCAACCTCTTTGGTTTCTCTGTTCATTTGGACTCGCTGGATGCCCTATCCCCTCTGCATGGATCTCTGACCTTGGCCTATTACCTCAGGGCTCGTCAGTGCCAGGCTGGCTCTATTATTGGCAGGTTGGCCCACGATAGCACCCATGTTCCCTGACCCTCCCTGCCGATGCTGTGTGCTCTGATGACATCACTCAACTGTGCCCCTCCAGCCAGATGCTGCTATAACTGATGTTATACTCTGCTCTTGCAGCTTAGAAGAACTTAGATCTATTTGAAATAGATGAAGAAAAAAAAAACAAAACACCCACACCCAGAGCTCAGTGAGATGGCTCAGTGGGTAAAGGTACTTGCCTGATGACCTGAGCTTGAAGCTAAATTCCACATACTTAAAGGAGGGGAAAGACCTTCACAGAGGCACAATGACACAACCACACACAAAAATATAAAGTGTGGGCTGAAGAGATTTAACTCAGAGGTTAAAAGCACTGCCTGTTCTTCCAAAGAGTGTAGAAGGAGCTGCAGGCAGACCTGCTTTTCGTCCCACCCTGCTCCTACATGGTTAGCTTTACACCTGAAATAACAACACACAAACTGTATTCTTTTAAACAATGCCTAGCCCGTTAGTTCTAGCCTCTTATGGGCTAATTCTCACATCTTGATTAACCCATTTCTAATAGTCTGTGTAGCACCACGAGGTGGTGGCTTGCCAGGAAAGATTCAGCATGTCTGACCTGGCGGCTGGCTCCATGGCAGCTGCCTCACTGCCTTCTTTCTCCCAGCATTCTTTTCTGTCTTCCCCACCTACCTATGTTCTGACCTATCAGGCCAAGCAGTTTTCTTTATTAACCAATGAAACAACAGACAGATAGAAGACCCTCCTACATCAAAAGGGCCCGAGTTTAATTCCTAGCAACCACATAGTGGCTCACAACCATCTATGATGAGATCTGGTGCCCTCTTCTGACTTGCAGGCATACATGCAGGCAGAACACTATATATAATAAATAAATAAATCTTAAAAAAATAATATATGTAAGTGTAGTTTTTAAAAAAGGGAACACTAAAATGACTTTATCAGGCTTGCTGTGTCTTCCCAGGCTTCTTTGCTCCTCTATACCCTAAACACTAGTGTTTTCTTCTTTTTTTTTTTTTTTTTTTTTTGGTTTTTCGAGACAGGGTTTCTCTGTGGTTTTGGAGCCTGTCCTGGAACTAGCTCTTGTAGACCAGGCTGGTCTCGAACTCACAGAGATCCGCCTGCCTCTGCCTCCCGAGTGCTGGGATTAAAGGCGTGCGCCACCACCGCCCGGCCAACACTAGTGTTTTCAATTCTTATTGATTTTTGGTTTTTTGAGACAGAGCCTCTGTGTAGTCCTACTGTCCTGGAGCTTACTATGTAGACCAGGATACCTCAAACTCAAAGACCCACCTGCCTCTGCTTCCTGAGTACTGGGACTAAAGGTGTGAATCACCTCCGCTTTTGGCAAGTCTTCCATTCTTTCTAGTCCCTGTCCAGCTCTTTCCTTCCTCCTGTTTTCCCATTGTGACCAAGGCTTCAGAAACAAACAAACAAAAAAAAAAAAAAACAGAACTTGGAAGGTGAGAGCTGAGTGAGTAGAGGGCAAGAACGGAAATACTCTGTATTCACCACACAAACGTGGGGACACCAAAGAGAAAAGATGGCCACACATGCCTATGGGGCCTTAGGCCCATTTGTTAGTCTTTCCCTGGAAGGCAAGTTCCACACGATAGGAATTGACTTGGTGATGGGACAAGCTATCGATCTAGATCAAAGTCACTGTGGAGTGCGTGTGTGTGGGAGGGAGATGTCAGGATCGATCGGAGCAAGGACACACGGAACATGCCTGGGGACTGATAGAAACTGTCCTCCCACCCTCCCTACACTTCCATACAAATCCCCCACCCTCCATACAGCTGTAACTTGGGCTAGTTTCTACCACAGTGAATGAAACATCTGCCTGCCAAATGATGCTGCATAGACCCAATTCTCTCCAAAAGAAAAAAAAAAAGAGAGAGAAAATCAGGTTGAATTCCTGTGAAGGAATAGCCTCGAAGAAACCAGCCCAAGAGTTCTGGTGATAAAAAAAGAAAGGAGGGAGAAACCCTGTCTCGAAAAATCAAAAAAAAAAAAAAAAAGAAAGGAGGAAGAAAGAAAGGAAGGAAGAAAGAAAAAAGAAAGAAACTGCAGAAAAGGGGGGTCCTGAGGGATGCAGGCCACTTCCTGGCAGAAGCAACTCCCTCTTGCTCTCGATCTAAAAGCCTTAGTTTCAATTTAACCAGGCAAGAGAAGCTGTTAGTCTTCTTGTGCAGAGCCCAGATTGAAACCTGCAAGTGAAGCGGCTTTTCTATTCTGGACACCCAATGATAACTTGAAGAAGGTTGCCTAAAGGACATGAGGAGACAAGGCACGAGAGATGAAAAAGTAGCAGCACAGACTTTCAGAAGTTCCCGTGGCTACTGCTCACAGTACTAGAAGCTGTGCAGTCGGAGTCCCCTGAGAAGACAGAGCAGTCTCGTGGGAGAGATCTGGGGCGGTTAGAAGTTTGCTTGGAAAGGGAGAAAATAGCATTTGCGAACCCCTAACCCTACCCCCGGAAGGTCCTGGACAGCTCAGATGGCACCGAGGGGCAGGTGGCAGAGCCGCTGAGGAGCTGTTGACACTGGTGATCCTCTGGAAGCTGGTGCTGTCACAGAACAGCGTGAAGCTTCATATGGGAGCTTAAGGAAGTGGTGAGTGCCCAGATGTGAGTCTGTGCCCAGTGTTCTTGCTGTAGGCAAACATGATCCAGCAGACACCAGACACGGTGGAAGAGGGGTTGTGGCAGGGATGGCATGAAGGACGAAGGAGCGAGAACGTGTTCTGGGAGGGAAAGAGCAGAGCGAGGGTGCCCTTAAAGAAGACCTTTCTTCACAGCGGGGAGAAAGGTGAATCACTAGGGAAGCTCACCTGCCTGCTTCTGTGTGATATGTTTG